TGGATAAAATTACCAAGTTCCAATCTAGAAATATTTCTAATTTGAACCAGAGTGAGGCAGTGGAAATTAATTATAATGCAGTGTTTCCCAACTATGAGACGTATTCCACCAGGGGGTTAGAAGATGATTCTTCGGAGTATACAAATGAGCGTATTTTAACTCAGTTAAGAACATGCTTATTTAAGTTTGGTAATCAATTTTTAAAAGCCATGTATTGATTGACATCCATGTATTTATTTACCTTTCATGTGGGGCAAGTAAAAGCCATGTGTGATTGAACGCCGTGGTTAAACAAGTAGTCGCATTGTTGGACGAGAGGACACCAGTGGGGCAGTGCTGTCACAGCACATTCCGCACACCAGTGAGTGAAAATGTGGCAGGTGAAAAAGCGGAGCTGAAAGAAAACATGGAGACCATCTCATGCAACTCGCTCCTTGAATCACTTGTTCATTCAGGAAATATTTATTGGGCACTTAGGATGTGCAAGGCTCTGGGCGGAGCTGCAGTCAATGCCGTTCTGATCAACCACGGGCCATGGTAGTCTAGTGAAAGGGACTCCCACTAAATGCATACACAGCAAATGATTATAGTTATGATAGGTTCTGTAAATAAATGCAGCACACATAAAACTATTACCCGCCAGTGATGTTGAAAGAGAAGCTTAAAGGATAGGGAGAAGCCATCCAGAAAAAGGGGGTGTGGAGACAGGGATGGAGTTGGGTGGTGCGAAGAGCAGAGCTTGAATGAGATCAAAGGAGAGCCCGGATAGGGGGAGCCCAGAGGGTCTTCGATCCCTCTCTGTGCATCGAAAGCACTCAGGGGGGCTCTTTTCTATCAGGACTCATCCAGGGACAGGTCGGAGAAGTCAGTGACCTGGCACTGGCCCCAGCTTCCCAGAGCAGCAGAATCCATTTTCCAAGGGTTTGCACATTTACCATCTTTCTATGTAGTGCCCATTTATGGAGGGATACCCAGAAGATGTTGGGAATTTTTTCCCAAAGCTATATGTTTAATTTATTTTTTTTTTAAAGCAACCTTATGACCTTTAAAGTCCTCTCCATTACACTTCATACATTGGTCAAGTCTGCGATTCCATGCTTGGGAACATTTTTCAAACTCATCTGTTTGGAGGGCTGAAAGCTACTCTTGTTTTTTCCTTTCGTCGCCTCTTCTAAGTCGTCAAATCACTGTCCTTTCATGTCGTTCTGCATTCACAGAAACAAAAAAGAAGTTGCAAGGAGTAAGGACCGGTGAGGAAGGTGCATGGGGAAAGAGAGGCATGTTTTTTTTGCCCAAACCTGGCGCACTGAGATGGCTGCGTGAGTAGGTGCATTGTCATGGTGCAGAACCAGCCCATCTGCCACAAATCAGGCCTTTTGGTCACACACGTGTGCACACTCGTTGGGGAACCTCTAAATAGAAAGCTTGATTAAGAGTCTGACATGGAATGAACTCCAAATGCACTACAGGCTGACATTTTCATCTGTTCGGGAAGTCGATGAACATCCAGAATGAGGATTGTCATCAATCAACATTTCACATTTTCTGAAACGGGAAAACCACTCATAACACTTGAGTTTTTCCCATACCACTGTCCTTGTCAGCTGTGTTCAGCATCACAGCAGTTTCTGCGGCATTTTTCCAGAACAGGAAACAAAATGTCACAACTGCATGCTGTTCTCTTAAATCGGCCATCACAAAAAACAAGGTCTGAGCGAAACTGCTTTTATGAAAAAATTCAGTGTGACCACAGAGAATCTTCTCAGGTGACACCACTGGCTGCACTAACTCAGAGCAAGTTGCTCCATGTTTGCCTAGCCTGAAAAACAGAAAAATACGTTCTAAGAAAGCCCCATCCAGTGGAGCTTTTTTCTAGTTTGGTTGGGGGGGAGGGGCGGGGGGAGGGGGAGGTAACCTCCTTGTATAAAAGCCCTGGTCTAGGTGCTGGGCAGCTTGTAAGAGCTATAACAGGAACCTCCATTCGGGTGCAGGGGAGACAGTCAATAAACAAACAAGTCAATAGCAGCGTGTCAGTGGAAGGAACGTTATTAAGGAAAAGGGGAGCAGAGTGAGGGTTGAGGGATAGGGTTAAAAGGGTCGTTATTTTCTAACAAGGCCTTTCAGTAATAAAGGCAGAGACATGAAGGGAGCCAGGGCTGGACAGGTCTCTTGAACTCACTCTAGGACCCTGTGCCACGGAAGTCTTTCTGCTGCGCCCTATGGTGTGGGTTTGTTCCGTTCCTTTAATTATACGCTGAGAAATAAAAAAATTTCATCATAAATTTAGTCTCTAACTATGGTCATAAAATGTATAAATCATAATTCTACCTTAAGTTATCTCTTTGTGTAAAGGTTAAATGACTTTTGAGTTTACAAAGCATATCATTCGCACCTGTGATATGCACCTGTTTCCCAGAATGCAGTCATCCCTGATAAAGAACCGGTTGGAGTGGGGGTACTTGAGCTTGAGGGGTTGACTCTGAGCCCAGGGTGATCACACTAAAGCAGTCGCTGCCCGGTGCCCCAGGATGCCAGCTTCTCTCTTCAAGGCTGCCTTTGCCAAATAACAAACCGTACTCAAGCACAGTGACATAGGTTTTTTCCCTCCAGCTTTTGAAAATATTTGGTTTGTGAACAGACACCAGCACATGAATGAATATTGGGATTTTTGAGTTGGTGGTGAGTTTTAGGTCCTTTTGTTATGGATTGAATTCTGTCCCCTCAAAATGCAAGGGTGAATTTAAAAGTATCGCTAGTGAGTTTCCAGTTCATTCATGCAACAGTTGATTCCATACAAAACATGTTCAAAGATGTGTACGTGCTAAGTGCTTGGTTGTAGACCAGTCCTTTGCTATATCCCTGTTGGTCTCCTTAAGGGCCTTCAAAATAGAAGTCCCGAAGCTTATGGCAACTTTAATTTTTAGTCCAAAGGAGCAATCTTGATAGGTTTTCTCAAAGGACACAGCAGGGTCATGGGAGCTTATATAGAAGAACTTCTAAGAAAGCGGAAAACTGCACTCGTGAGATAAACGCCAGGAAAGTTGCGCTGAGATCTTACTTTTTATCCATCAGGACAATGCATCTGATCACTTGGAGAGTCGGAAGGGCCATCCTATGATAATTTCACCGGGAAACTACCCCAGCTATGCTATGCTCCTGGTCTGATCCCCTCGGGTTTCCTGTGGTTCCCCACGGTTAAGAAGCATGAGCCGAGCCCCTCCAGGATGCCCGAGCTGCCTTGTCGAGGAGGTGTAAATCGAACCGTATAGCATTCTTTGGGGAAGGCTAGAGAGATGGAACTGTATAGTCTGAGGTGGAGAAGATGTCGGGAATCTGCAGCTTTGAGTTTTATATTTTTGTGTAGTCATGTTTTCTGTTATTATTTTTGTGACAGCTCTTTTGTGTGCTCAATTCCTGACCTCAGGATGTGATCCTGTTTGGACATATGGGTTTTCTTTTCTTGACTAATATGGTAGAGCAGTATAGGGAGCATCCAAACCTAATCATGTTGAGGTTATAAAAGAACCAGAAGAGACAGACACCGGCAAAGGCAAGAGACAAACTCGAAGGACATCAAGGATTCCCGGAAGACATCACTGATGACATGAGATGCCCAGAAGGAATCAACGTGCTCAAGGTAGCCATTTGGACTGTTGACTCCAGACTGAGAGGAAATAAATGTCTGTTCTTTAAAACCACGAGTTAATTAAAGCACCTATATTGCTCTTAACTGAGGATCACAACCTTTGGACTCTTCTGAGTAAAGCAAAGAATTTGAAACACAAAAACCAATCAAACATGTTGTGTCCAACCACCTCCAAAATTGGGGTGGGAAGGAGGAATTTGATCCCTAAGAGCCAAAGTCTATATAATAAACATTTCTTTGCTGACTGGCAAATAACTGTTTGGCAGTCCCTCTGATGTCTACTAAGTAAGGTGGCACCTGCCCCTAAGTAACGGGGCACCTGCGTGGAATGATTTCTAACCAAGACTAGAGACATTGGATGTGCAAGTTCACAGTCAAATTGAGCTGTGAGGGCTGCTTGCTCCTTGAAAACACTGGCTTTCTAAAAAAGGAGAGAAGGCGAGAAGATGAATGTCCGTCTCCTCTCTAGTCCATGTCAGAGTCAAGGACAGGTTCATGATTCCCCAGATCTCAGTTTTAGTTTTCTAAACATTCCTCCAGGAAAAAGGCTGCCCAGACACACGCCTTGGGACATCCTGTGTTTAGAGCACAGGATGAAGTTCTTCTCTCTCACCATTATCAATCCCCTACTGCCCACTGTCCCATGCCCTTCCTGGGGCTTGGTCTACTAATGAGATGCCCAATAGAAATAATATGTGTGACTACAGTGGGTTAATGAGGAATGCAAAAGGAAGGGGAACAGGCAAGGAACAAAGCAGTGAATTGAGATTATGGGGTAATAATGCCAAGTGGAGTGACTCAGAAGACAGAGCTCTTGTGAGTAGAATAATGGCCACGGGATTGAAAAGAATTGAATAGTGAGAGAGTGAAGAGAAGACGAGGGCCCAGGGAAATTCAGTGAAGAAATTTTGGAAATAATGGGACACTTATCATAGTGCTGAATGTGGCTGGGTGCTGGGATACACTGCCAAAAGCTGCATGAATTACCTGGCAGAACATGAAGAAGCGGAGTCCATTTAAAGGAATCCAGCCTTCTTACGATGTCACTCATTCTACTAAACTTCTAGGCAGCATGGCTTGTTTGCTATGGTGGGATCTGAGCTGTATTTAGACATTTATTTCCATTCTTTCCACTTTCTTAATTGCATAGTACACAGAAGAAGCATTATCATGCTTCAGCATCATTTCAACCTCAGTTACTTGTGGTCTTTGTGGCTTGGGTTATCAGACAAAGACATTCCCAGTAAATCATTCAAACCCCTTAGTTGGCTTCTGTGGCCTGTCTAATCTGCCTTGGTTGGTATGCATTGCACGCAATGAAATTCTAGCATACTATCAAGAAAAAGACATCCAGGAGACAAAAACCATAGCTCATTTAATTGAAATCAATGTCTGCTAATAGCTAGGTTTATATGGGGTATACTCTACAATCGTCAAATCTTTAAGTAGACAATCATAATTTATGTAGCATCCACTTATATATCTCAATAGCATTTTCTTATACATCATAAATCTATTCCTTTCCCTCTACAAATATCACATGAGCTAATTCAAAGGATACACTTATAAATTAAATTCATGCAATGTACTGGTGGATAACAAAATATGTTCAGGATTAAGACATTCCTTAAAAATACCAATAATGTACTTGCTAGTGATAATTTACTTATTTCCAGAACAAGATTGTACACAATTCCCCTAGGCTATTCTGAATCATTTTACTTTCTGTAAGTACTCTAGAGAAGTTTTTAAAAGAAATCCACTGTAATAAATCTATTGCTGGTGGTTCTCACAGCATTTCAAGACACAATGCTCTCCAGGAAGTTTTTGATCCAGGAGAGAAGGATATCCACTTCGCTGATGGCTTTGTAGATTCCTTTCGTTCCAATCTGCAGAGAAAGTACCAATATAAATGCAGAGATTGTCCATATTGTTTTTAATTTCAATTTTTTTCAAATTGACCTTTTTTAGAATACTTACTCCATAAAATATTTTTTTAATTCGGGTAATGGATTTCATCTCCTTAGCAGATGAAGGACAGGAAATCTAAGAGATCAACAGCAAATATAAGAAATGGTGAAAAGATACTAGTGATATTCACTCTTCCATCAATTCAACAAGTATTTCTTGAGCATGTACTATGTGCTGGTAAATAAGTGATACATGATCTCTGCCCTCACAGAGTTTCCAGCCTTATGGAAGAGGAAAATGTTAAGTTGGGAAATAAAATTAAAACAGAAATTATCATAAAGTTATACTTGTAATGTACAAGACTCTATGATTTCTATGGACACTCTACTTCCAATTGAGTAGATATGGATGGTTTTTGAAAGAATGGCATTGAAAATGAGAAGACAGCGATATGAGAAAGTGAAGAGAGGATGAGGGCTGATACACAGGGTAGAGTAGTTAAAGGTCAGAGCAAGTTTGCAAAGGCCCGGAGGCAGGAAAAAGCTTTCCAAACTGAGAGTCCGAAGGAATGACTCACTAGATGCTGGAGTTGCGTCATAAGTATAAGGAATGAATGGTTTGAAATGAGAGAATGAATGGCAAGAATAAATTCACTTTTCGAAAATTTAAACAGATTGCTATATTCAAAGCACAGGGCCACAAGCAAGTGCAGATTGCCAAAAGAAAGCACCCAGGAACTGAATATTGGTTTTAAAGTTAGGAGAAGGAGCCATCTGGTGTCTTGAGAAACTGGCTCATCGCCTGGCTGGGAAATTGTTAGTCTTCTTTGTGGAAATGAATGTGCAGGCTCTTTCTGGTCATAAGAGTCCTTGGGTGGAATAAATGGTTTAACACTCAAGTGCTAGCCCAAAGGATGGCGATTCAAACACACCCGGGGACATCTTGGAAGATAAGCCTGCAAAAGGCCAGATTCTTGAAAGCTTTATGAAGCAGTTCGATTCTTCACACATGGGCTGGAACCCGATGGCAACTAACAGCAACTGTGCATAAAAATTGCCGACAAGTCAGGCATGAAGTAGTTAGCATCCTCCTCTAATCTCCTATACGTTTTGCATACAATAAATTAAAGAGAAGGGAAAAAATAAGAATGGCTGGTTGGTCTCCTTAGTGTTTACTTGTAGTATCTTAGTACTGAGAAAAGGGAGGGGTGGAGAATTGTGTCGGTCAGTTCTTCTCAATTTGTAAATAAGGAAACCGAGTCCCAGGTGGTTAAGCCATTTACCCAAGACATCACAAGAGGCCTCTCCGAGGTATAAAATAGCATAGGGGCATATAAAAATATAAAGAAATAGATAACAGATAACACTCATAAAATCGAAGCAGCTGAAGAGCAAGCCCACTGCTATCCAGTCTATTTGGGTTCATACTGACCCTATGGCATGGAACTGCTCCCTAGGGTGTCCAAGGTTGTAAACCTTTACAGGAACAAGAAGCCTCATCTTCCTCCCTCAGTAGGTTGGTGAGTTTGAACTGCTGACTTTGCAGTTAGCAGCCTTATGAGTAACTATTTACAATTCCTTCCCTGTTAATGAGGAACCCCGGTGGCATCGTGGTTATGAGTTGGCTATGAGCAGTTCCAAACCACCAGGAGCCGCTAGGGAGACAGGCAGGGGCTTCCTACTCCGGTAGACAGTTACAGTCTCAGAAACCCACAGGGGGTCACTATGAGTCAGCATTGACTTGATGGCAGCGAGGGTGCTTTGATGTTTCCTATTAAAATTATTGGAGTCTCTAGGTGTTACAAATGATTACAGGCTTGAATCCACCCAGAGGCACCCCAGAAGAAAGGCCTGGTGATCTACTTCTGACAAACCGGACCTTCAAAGCCCTCTGCAGCACAGGTCTACTCTGACACCCATGGAGTTGCTGTGAGTCGGAATGAACTCAACCGCTGTGGGTTTAAATTCACTTTTTGTAGAATGAATGAACGTGACCAAAGGCAGCCAACAGAATGTTTAGGTCTGAAGACAGGACACAGGAAAGGGTGATTCTGGCTTCTTTTTTTTAACAAGAAAGATGGACTTAAGATTGTTATCCCCACCATTGTGGATAATGGTAGTGATGGTGTCATAGTTCTACCCAATTAGAGACTCCACCTTTCAGTCAGACTCTACATAGGAAGGAAAAGACATTTCTTATGAGAGGGGCTTCCATAATTTGATTCCATTTGAAGCATCAGAAGAGATAAGGACCTTCCTGTGATAAACCAACAAATCAAACCCATTGTTGTCAAGTTGATTCCAACTCATAGCGACCCCAAATGTCTGTCTCGGGGGTCAACTGAACACTACACTCACAGCTTTCCAGTCAACGCCAACTCACAGCAACCTGATAGGACAGGGTAGGGCAGTCCCCTGTGGGTTTCTGAGACTGGAACTCTTTACAGTAGAAAGCCCCATCAGTCTCCTTCAGAGTGGCTGCCGGTTTCTAGCTGCTGACCTTGCAGTTGGCAGCCCAATGCATAAGCACGACACTCCCAGGGCCCCTATCTTTGTGAAAGGAGCCCTGAACTAAGAAGAGGAAATTCCAGGGAAGACCAGATCCTGTAGGTCAAAACCAGTATGTCACTTTGAGGCAGGACTGAAGAGTCCACCTGCCAGTGGTCATGCATTAGTGCAGAGGAATCAGAGAGAACCCTCCAAAGGTCCCTGACCCTCTAGCTGTGCTCTGCATCAGGAATTGGCAAGCTTTATTAGACAGTAAATATTTCAGTCTTTGCCGGTCAAGATGCAAAATCAAGGAGTTATGTAAGCACCAGCGTACTTAGAAAGAAAGGAAATTCCCTCAATTTTAGAGTTGACAGTACTCAAACAATGTTCATTATTGTCATCTCTTTTGTAGTACAGAGATGCCAATAAAAGGACAGAATTTTTCTTGGGGGATGGCATTTGACTTGATTTAACATTCCCTCTCACCAAATGTTCATCTATAAAAACTATTTTGCAGCTTTGAGCCACACAAAAGCAGGCTTCAGGTTAGATTTGGCTCATGGTTTGCTGACCACTGGTCTATCTGCACACCAAGGCAGTGGACGGCAATGGTCAGGAGCTCCAGTTTGGGAATCAAGCAGTCGTAGGGAGAAAGCTGTGGGCTCTTTGACGAATCAGCGTACTCCTCCTAGTCCTCTTTTCTTTATATGTCAAAATAGTAAACGTGAACCACCTTACAGGCTGTTTTTTCAGGAACCTATGAGATACTACAGATATCTTAGCATACTGCCTTGAAAATCATAAAACCATTGAATAACCAATGTTGGCTACTGTTGCGTCTTCTACATAACAGAGGACATTAAACTGTAGCTGTAGTTTTTGTGATTTTGATAAGCTAAAAATGACCCAAGGAAAGTAATCCTCTGTAATACTATCCGATACACATATTTAAATTAGATTGTTGATACCATTTATAGGCAATATTTCTAGGAACTTACTAAGTGGCAGGACTGTGACATGTTCTCCTCACCGTAATAGCTTTATGGTCTGTGGTAGTAACATAATCTGGTGTCAATTTGAGGATTAAGAGTGTAGGAGTGGAGTCTAGCCTTTCAATGATTGTGTAGCCAATGAGGCCACAGGGTGGGCATGGCCTTCCCCTGAGAATTCTGGGAATTTGTGGATTTCCTCCTTGGAGGCAGGAGACAGTCTCTCTCTCTCTCTCTCTCTCTCTCTCTCTCTCTCTCTCTCTCTCTCCTCACTCCCTGAGTTTCTATGGACTTCTTTCTCTAGTCTACCCGGACTAACAAATGGCCCCAACTAGTAGTGTCAACATTCAGTCCCCGAATGCCCAGTTGCACACCTGATGCCTCCCATCCCACCTCTGCCTGTGAAGATAATCTCTGTGTCTTTTTCATGTCACACTGCCACCAACTCATGCTACATGGACTCCTTCTTCCCTTGGAGACGGCAGTGTTCTATTCTATCATTCTGGGTGTATGTGAATGCCCAGGAGGTGGGGGGAAGGAACTATCTGTATAGTTAATGGTCCTAAGTCTCTGTTGATAATAATAGTGTCATTCGTCTGGGTATAAAACACCATTTCTCTCAACGAAGTAAAGTTACTTCAAAACACCACCAAGCCTGTTGCCATCAGGCCACTTCCAACTCATGGAGATGCGCCGAACAGAGCAGAACGACGCCCTGTACGGTTACAGACAGTAGGGAAGCAGACTGCCGCAGCTTTTCCTGCAGAGCGGCTGGCGGGTTCGAACCACCAACCTTCCAGTTAGCAGCAGAGTGCTTTAACCTCGGTGCCACCAGGACTCGTGAAATTGCTTCACAAATCAGCTATTTTCCTCTTAAGTTTCTCTTTCTATATACAGTCAAATGGTATAATGCTAGATAACTGCACAAAAATAATGGGCTAAGTTCTTCAAAGATTCAGTACAATAAACCCACAGTTCGGTTCCTTTCGTCAAACTGTGCTCCTGTGATACATCTAGTCAGCGCGGTCTCTGCTCCTGCAAGCCAAAGCTCCTTTCTGCAAGTACGCGCGAAGAGCCCAGTTACCTTCCTTTAATCTACAAGCAGATTTACGCACTTCTCCACTGGCAAGCGTTTCGGATGCCAGTCTCTTAGCCCCTGCCTAGGCCACCCAAAAAGGAGTGATCCCACTCAGGGCAGGCAGAGGCTCCCCTTTTCCGAGCACACAGTCCAAAAGAGCCCCTTATTCAGGAAACACCCTTGCCTGTAGCGGCTGCCGTGAACCAGGCCCTCTGCTGGGCACCAAAGATAAAACAACCAGCGAAACTCAACAAACTCACTGCCACGTGTGCAGACTGCACTCAAGGGACTAGAAAAGTCCAGTGTCTGGAGATCCCCTTGCAGAGGGGTCTCGGGGAGGAGATGAGCCAGTCAGGGTGCGATGTAACAACGATGAGAAGTACAACTTTCCTCTAATTCCTAAATGTTTCCTCCCCGCTCCCACTACCATGACTCGAATT